TTTTGCCCCAGATCCCTAAATGGCCCCCTCAAGGATTGAACTCGCAATCCTGGGTTTAGCAGGCCAATGCTCAAACCACTGAGCTATCCCTCCCCCCAAGTTCAGGGGTTCCTCTATGGGGGTGCCACAGCTGTCTCCCCACTTCCCTGCTGAGCTGTCAGTCCAGAGCACCTGGTCCCAGCAAGCCGGTAACATGTCCTCACACTGAGGCAGGCAACACGACTGGCCCAGCCACGGCCAGCGTCCGCTCTCCCCCGGGGGCCTGGCTGTTGGTGTGAGAGCTTCCCTCAGAACGCAAACAGTCGGGAGATCCCAGGCGGGGTTTGTATCTCCAGGATGTAGCTTTAAGCACTCGCCGGACAGAGCCACCGCTGACTTTGCCGTCCCTCGTGGGCGCGGCCTGAAGCGAGGCCTGGACCGGAGGACAGGTTCGCTCCAGCTAGTGCTGGGGCGATCTCCGGGCTCCACGGCTGGGGATGTGGCCGATGGCAGGTTTGGGGGGCGGGTGAAGGTTTTGGGGGGCGGGGTTGGTCTTGGCCTTTGTTGAACTTAATTGCTGCTGCCTTGTTCCCAGACCAAGGACTGGTGGACGTACGAGTTCTGCTACGGGAAACACATCCAGCAGTACCATGTCGAAGGTAAGCCTCGCCTTGCCACGTCCACTGGCTGTTTGCTGGGCCCGGCGGGAGGGGCGCGTGTGGGCGGATTATACAGGCCCGAGGACGTGTCCAGCCGCTCATCTCGGAGGGTGACTGGCCTGGGCTCGCTCAGTGAGTTTGGCTGGGAGCTGGGAAAGCCGCCCAGTTTCAACGCTCGGGATATGAAAGACCCTGGTGCGTCAGCCCCAGCTGTGCCCAGGCCCATGGCGGCATGTAAAGGGCAAAGGGGCCGGGGCTACTCTGCTGTGATCACTTTCATTAGATCCCCTCCCACCCCCGTGGCATCCTGTATCCAATCTCCCTCTGGGGCTCCCTGTCACCGTTGTGGGCTCACTGCACCGCCGACCCCCTCCGTGAGCTGCACGAGGGGTGGCCCCCTTAGTTCTCCTCTGGGTGGAAACTGACACACCCAGCGCAGCTGCCGAGCGTCTCTGCGCGGGGCGCTCGGTGTTTGATCTCGGGGAGGTGCCTGTAGCAAAGGAGATTTTACCCCCAAAGATTGGGCCAGCATCCAGCCCTTTCCCCGAACCTGATCTGGGACAGGATACCGCGTCAGGGTGAAGTATTTACATGGCTCCTGATACCCTGTCTCCGGTGGGTGACGCTGTCGTCCCCATGGTCCCGCAGGAAGTCTGGGACAGAGCAGTGTCCCGAGTCCCAGGCGAGTGCTGGAACCACTGGCCACCCTTCCTGGGGGGGGGGGGGTGTCTCTCTGCACTCCGGGGCCCCCCAGGGGTTCAGCACGCTCTAACGTGGGTCGCTCTGTGTCGCTGTTTGTTTCCCAGAGTCGGAGATTAAAGGAGACATCTTGTACCTCGGGTATTATCAGTCGGCGTTCGACTGGGACAACGAGACAGCAAAGGTTGGTGCTTCTTGGACCTCCTGTGTCGTGCTGCAGTGTGAACCCCTGGTGCTCTAGGTTGGGGAGAAGGGAGGTGGGCTCGGCTGGGGGTCTGTCTAGCGCTGGCTCAGCAAACAGGGTAAGCAGTTCACCCCTAAGTCCCCGCAAGCTCTCCCCTCCTGACAGTGGGCCCTGCTGTGCAGAGCAGGGGACTGACTCGCTGTGTGACGCGGGAAGTAACTTTCGCTGCCTCGGTTTCCCCATCTGTATAATGGGACGACAATCTCCCAGGAGGCCGAGTGGCTTGGTGTGTGGGGGGCTTTGCGATCCCCGGAGACAGCCCTAGCTCAGCGTGGACAGTGAAGTTGGGAGCTTTAATGACCTCATCCAAAATTCACCTTCCTAGGCTTCGAAACAACACAGGCTCAAACGCTACCACAGCCAGACATATGGCAACGGTTCCAAGTGCGACCTGAGCGGGCAGCCCAGGGAAGCTGAAGTCAGGGTAAGTCGGGGGTGTGTGTGTGTGTCAGTTCTCTGGAGTTGGGGTGAGCCGGGGAGACTCCCTGAAGACAGAGGGGGCCAGGGCAGCCTCTCTTTGGCCTGGGTTATCTGCTGTTTAAAATGCCAGCAGTGACTAGGGGAGGCTTCCGTGGGGGGGTGGGGAAGGGGTGGAGGCGGACGAGCCCCTCGGGCGTGGCAGGGTGCCCGGCAGGCCCCGCGGGACTCTCCGTGAGCCCCAGGGCACCTTAACCCTGTTCCCCCCGGCGGCAGTTCCTGTGCGAAGAGGGCTCTGGGGATTACATTGCCCGGGTGGACGAGCCGCAGTCCTGCTCCTACGTCCTGACCATCCACACCACCCGCATCTGCCACCACCCCTTCCTGCGACCGCCCTCCACGGCCACCCCCCAGGCCATCCGCTGCCACCCGGCCCTGAGCCCGGCCCAGTACGTGGACTACGTCCAAGCCCAAGTGTGTGAGTATCTGGGACGGGGATGGGGGGCGGCTGAGGGACTCGGGTCTAAATCTGAGCCCCTCCCAGGGCCTACAACAGCAGCTTGTCCCAGCCCAGCAGATCCCAACCGTCTGTAGGGCGGGTTCTCGGGCTGCCCCACCCTCTCCTCCCCCCCAGGGTGGGCGGGTTCTTGGGCTGCCCCGCCTCTTCCCCCTGGGGTAGGTGGGTTCTTGGGCTGCCCCGCCCCTCCTCCCCCCAGTGCTGGGCGGGTTCTCAGGCTGCCCCACCTCTTCCCCCTGGGGTAGGGGGGTTCTCAGGCTGCCCCACCTCTTCCCGTGGGGTGGGCGGGTTCTCGGGCTGCCCTGTTCCCTCCTTCCCCGGGGTGGGCAGGGCCTCTGTGGTGACTGAAATCCCATCTACGCTGGCCAATGCAGTCGACACCAAGCGCAAGGTGGAAGAGATCTCCGAGGAGCTGAAGACCCTGGACACGAGGCTGTGGAACGAGCGAGATCCCAACCCTGCCACCCAGCGCCCGGAAGGTGTGGATCCAGCCCACCCCCTCCACGAGGAGCAGGAAGCGGACGGTATGGCAGCTTCTTCGCGCTGAGCTCTGGGTGCTCGTGATCCCCTGTGGGCAGCCCCGTCCTCTGCCCGGGCTCGGGGCTCTCTGCTGGGATCTCCTGGTGCGATGGGCCGTGCGCCCGGCGGGGGCCCCCTCACACCCCCATGGACGTCAGGGAGGCGCAGGAGGATCTGGTAGTGCCCCAGCGCTGCTGAGCGCAGGCAGCTCGCTGGGCCTGGGTGGGGCCGCGGGGCTCGAGCCTTCCCCTCCGCCTTCAGGAGTATTGCCGAGGCGTCGTGGGCACTGTGGGTGAGCGAAACAGCCGGGCGGGCCGGGGCGAGATCCTGCTCCCGTCGAGCCTGGCTGACGGCAGATGGAGGGCGACCGGCTGCCTGGGACTGGAGTAGGCTGGTGGGATCGGGCACACGTGAAGCTTACTCAGGGGCCTAAGGCTGCCCCGGTGCCCCGAGCACTTCCCAGGACTTCAGCGGTGTGGGTGACGTTTTCTCCTTGCTTTGTGCCAGCCGCTCCCAGGGAAACCCCCAGACCTGGCCCAGGGGACGACACCGACTTCGGGGATAGAGCACTCGGAGCGGGCGGGCTGCCGGACCGCACCAAGGTAACGGCTCTGTCCGGTGTGGCCCTCCTCCTCCCCCCCCCCCCCTCCACGCACGGTCTCTCTTCTGGCTCGCTGTGGTCTGAGCCAGGAAGCTGGCACAGCCATGCCAGGCACCGCCGCCTCCTGGTCTCACCCTGGGGTGGGGCGTGGGGTCAGTGGTAACTGTGTCAAGGTTCAGTGCTGGGGGAAGGGCAGCAGCTCCCCCTCACTCCGCCGACGCAGAGCCCCCGCCAACTCCTGTAGTGATCCCGGGTCTGCCACCGTGTGAGCAGCACGTTGATTGTCTCCCTTCTGTCCCAGCCAGACCTTCTCCCGCGGGACCCCAGGGGGGGGCTGCTGCCGAGTCCAGCGGCTGGGGAGCAGTTTGCCCTGTTGCGTGGCCTGGCGTCTCTCTGGGTAGGACAAGGCTAAACAGCGGTGGCTTTGCGGTTGGCAAATCAGGAGCCCGGCTCCCCGGTGCTGTAGCTGGGGCAGTTATGGCTGAGTAATTTGTCCCCCTGCCCCTGGGTCTGGAGTCCCCCGTGTCCCTCTAAACTCCCGGTGTCGTCCCCGCTGCAGGAGGACGAGGCGGTTGTGAAGCCGGCAGATGATCACCTGGCTGGTGAGTGTTTAATAGAATCCTGGGGCAAACCTCTCTGGGCCATCACTACACAGGGCGGGTTGTGGGGTGTCCTAGGGGGGAGCCCGTCCAGTGTCGGGGTGTATATTTGGCAATAACAAGCCAAAGATCATCTAGTGAGCGTTACCGTGATTTGCAATCCTGATCTCGGATGTGGTGCTCAAACCAATGGCCATGAAGCCACTGGTCCGTTTTATGGCCCTGATAAAACACAGGGGGACGTCTGCCGGGAGGCTGGAGCCAGGGCGTCGGCTCTCCGAGTGATCGGATGAACCTTCGCTGGCAGACAGTGCCTGGCGCTCTGGGACGTTGGGGGTTAAAGTCTCTGCCCCCTTGGGAATCCCGAGGGTCCTCTGCCTGGTTCTCCTTCAGAACTGCCTCGGCAAGGGGCAGGATCTGCCTGTGCCGGGAGGGGAACGGTTCTTTCCAGCACAGAGCCTCAGATGTTCTTGTTTCTCTGGCATCTTTCAGATTTCCAGCAAAAAATCCACTTCAAAGTGATCCGGAGCCCGGGGGATTTAGTCCAGTTTATCGAGGCACTGAAGGAAAACACCAAGAAGGTACGCGGGGGCCTGGCGTGGCGTTCTCCATCGGTGCTCTTAGCCCACAGCACTCCTCCATGGGAGGTGATCTATTGACCCTGGCTAATGATTACAGCTGGATTCCTGGCTCAGGGGCGGGCCTGATCTAGCGCTGAGTTTGATTCCCTCTGTTAATGTGAGCTGGTCCGGGCCTTGCTCTGTGCCTCAGTTTCCCCCTCTGGGATGCCAACCCTCCCTGACTACATAGGCCAGCTCTGAGATAGATTCATTTTCGTTCCCTCTGAAGCACCTGGCGTTGGCCGCTGTCGGAAGCTAGAGGGACCTTTGGTCTGACCCCGTGTGGCCATTGGGTGGGGAGTGTCTAAAAATCCCTTTTCCCCCCAGGGGAAAGAAAAGGCGAGCGAGTCGGAGAAGAGCCAGGAGGCCCCGAGGCCCGAGGAGGCTCCGGTCGCCGGGAGCGAGCGCCCGGAGGAGGAGGACGATGAGGACGACGCCGCCCTGCTGGGGAAGTTTGAGGAGGAGCTGGAGGACATCCTGCTCCCCAGCTCGGAGCGGGCCAGGCTGAAGGAGGAGGTGAAAACGGAAATGGAGAAGCAGTTCGACAACATCATTGACGAGGTGAGGCTGAGGGAGAGGCCCCTGCCCACCCCCCATCCCGTGTCTGGCGCCAGGGTGTCCCCTCTTGCCAGCCCCGTCTCCTCTCTGCCCTCCCTGGGGCGTGGCCGGATCCCGACGGGCGCAGATCCGGGATGGCTGCTGGGGCGTGGGCAGCGCCCCTTCCCCGCAGTGCAGAGGGACCCAGGGGCCGGCTGCCCATCCTGAGGGCATCAGGAAGCGTTCATGCCCCGCGGGCACGTGGATATTTCTGCTCCCAGTGGCCTCTCCCTGCCGCTTCCTTTGGCACCGTTACTTGTAACCATGACACTGGTGGGGTCACTGGGGACTGATCCCCGAACCTCTGCCGTTAACTGCTTGGGATCAGGTTTGGAGGCAGTATTGCATCTAGCCACTAGGGGGCGACGGAACCACACCGGTATGGTACTCCCTAGCCGCTGCGCCCCAGAACAGAGGGCAGGGGGCCCTCGCTGTTGGGGGAAGGCTGCAAGGGCTTGGGCTGGCATCGGCGGGGTCAGATCGCTGCTCTGTGGCCCGACCTGCCCTTCGGGAGATAACGGCTCCCGCCCCCCAGGTGGAGGATGAGCTGGAGACAGAGGGCCTGAAGGGCGAATTTGATCGGAACCACGCCTCCAAGTCGCTGGCCTCCACCCTCAACAAGCTGATGGACAAGCTGGATGACGGCAAAGCGGCCGAGAAAGGGGAGGAGGAGGAGGAAGAGGAGGACGAGGGAGACTCAGCCAGGAGCAGCGCGAACCACTTGGATAAGCAAGCAGCTGGTAGGCTCCGGTTCCCCGGGCTGCTTAGATCCACCCCTGGGCTGCTCTGCCCATGTCATCTTCAAGGGGGCGCGATGGCACGCACTTAAAGGTGTAGTGTCTGGAAATCTGGCCCTGGCCTGGCCCCATCTGGGGAACTCCTCGCCTCAGGGCTGCTCAGAGCTCCCTTCTCCCCCCCCAGCCTCCGGAGCTGAGCTTGGGGATCACTCCCCCTGTGTAGCAGGATGTTGCCCCTTGTAGATCTCCCACGGGAGAGTTGGGGATGGTGTCCGGGCTGGGGCAGCAGTGGGGCTGAACCCTGTACGATGCTCGGAGCAGAGGGGTTGGGATTGCTGCTTCTCTCGCAGCGCCACCCCGAACACGGTGCCTGGGGGGGGGGGGCACCACCGGCCTGGGGAAGCACTTTCTGATGGCCACTTGGGGCTGCGTAATCCCGGAGGGGGATGCCCAAAGGGGTGGGAACCCAGGCGGCTTGGCAAAGTGGGGCCGTAACTGTCAGCGTTTGCCCTCAGCGGCCTGGCCTTTGCACTTAGACATCCATGAATGGGGACAGCTTTGTCCATAGCGCCCGAAGCGCACAGAGCCGCCTGCCCCCCCGCGGTGCCACCCCTGGGCACTGAAGCCCCTCTCTGTAACCTTCTGTCTCAGAGGCCGACTCGGACGGGCGGGTGAAGGTCAGGGTCACTAGGATAAAGCCAGGCAGCCCCCTGCAGAAGGAACTGAGGGTGAGAGAGATGGGCAGCGAGAACCCGCAGCTGCGACACATTGAGAATGTGGTTAAGGACCTGCTGGAGAGAGAGGGCCTGAAAGCGGAAGGTAATGCTGGCCAGAGGGGAGGCTGGGGATCGGAGCTGGGGTCCCTAGAAGGGCAGGAGCAGTGGGACTGGAGTTACTGGGGGAATCTGAATAAATCCAGGGGGGTGAGGGGCTCTTCTGGTAATTGTAGGGCCCTCGAGAGGTCATCTAGAGTCCAGCCCCTGGCTCTGAGGCAGGACCAAGTAAACCCGTGACCATCCCAGCCAGGACTTTATCCAACCTGGTCTTAAAACCCTCCAAGGATGGGATTCCACAGCCTCCCTTGGGAGCCTGTCCCAGAGCCGATCTCCTCTTAGAGTTCGACATCTGACCGAAATCTCCCTCGGTGCAGATCAAACCCGTTGCCTCTTGTCCCACCTTCCGTGGATTTGGAGAAGGCGCGATGGGTCCTTCGATAAGTCCTCAGATACGCTAAGGGCTGTCGTCCGGTCCTCTCTCAGCCGTTCTGAATTCAAGACTAAACGTGCCCAGTTTTGAAACCTGTTCTCACAGGTCAGGTTTTCGAAACCTTTTATCGTTTTTGTTGCTCTCCTCTGGACGCTCTCCAATTTGTGCCCCCTAAAGTGTGACACCCTGAAGTGGGTGCAGTGCTTCAGCTGAGGCCTCACCAGTGCCGCATAGAGCGGGACAACACCCCCCCCCCCCTCGGTGCATTACATACTATGCTCCTGTTAATACACCCCGGAATATTATCCTTTTTTACAGCTACATCTCATTATTGACTCGTGTTGGGCTTGTGATCCGCTATAAACCCCAGATCCTTTTCAGCAGGGCGACCGCCTAGCCCAGAGGTGGCCAACCTGAGCCTGAGAAGGAGCCAGAATTTACCAATGTACCTTGCCAAAGAGCCACAGTAATACGTCAGCAGCCCCCCATCAGCTCCCCCCCGCCGCTCCCAGTGCCCTCCGCCAGCCCTGCTGATCAGCACCTGCCCCTCCCTCCCCGCACCTGCCGATCAGCTGGTTCGTGGCGTGCAGGAGGTTCTGGGGGGAGGAGCGGGGAGGAGCGAGGGCACGGCAGGCTCAGGGGAGGGGGCAGGGCCTGTGGCAGAGCCAGGGGTTAAGCAGTGAGCTCCCCCCGGCACATTGGAAAGTTGGCGCCGGCGTCGGTGCCTATACTAGGAGCTGCATATTAACCTCTGAGGAGCCGCATGTGGCTCCGGAGCCACAGGTTGGCCACCCCTGGCCTAGCCACTTAGTCCCCATTTGGTAGCTGTGCATTTGATTTTTTTTATCCCCCTCTTCCTGAATGAAGTTCTTTGCACTAGTCTGTGCTGAATTTCAGCTTGTTGGATTCAGACCAGTCCTTCAATTGGTCAGCGTTGTTTTGTATTCGAATCCTGCCCTCCGAAGTGCTAGCACCCCCTCCCAGCGTGGTGACATCCGCGCATTTTATAAGCATGCTCTCCAGACAAGTCATTCGTGAAAATATTGAATAGTACTGACCCCTCAGGACCCTGCTAGATCTGCCCGCCCACTTAGTGAACCATTGAAGACGACTTTGTGTACAGTCTTTCTACCCGTTACGAATCCACTTTCTAGTCATTTCATCTAGACCAGATTTCCCTAGTTTGCTTATGAGACTGTCTTCTGGGACTGTCAGAATGGCGCTACTTGGTCTGACCAAAGGTCCATCTAGCCCAGTATCCTGTCTGCCGACAGCGACCAAGGCCAGGTGCCCCAGAGGGAATGAACAGAACAGGGAATCATCAAGCGATCCATCCCCTGTCGCCCATTCCCAGCTGCTGGCAAAACCGTATTAAAATCAAGATCTATCACATCTACTTCTTCCCCTCATCCACTGGGCCAGCAGCCCCGTCAAATAAGGAAATTCGGTTGGTTTGCTATGTCTTGTTTTTGGCAATCCATGTTGGCCATTCCTTATAACCCTTTGTCCTCTCGGTTCTTATAAACTGATTGTTTCATGATTTGCTTCCAGTATCTTACCAGGTACTGACGTCAAGCTGAGTGTCCTTTAGTTCCACTTATGTTTGCCCTTCTCCAGTGGTCTGAGACCTCGCCTGGCCGCCAGTTCTCAAAGATAATGCCAATCTCCGTTCTGAGATTGCTTTAGCCAGGTCCTTCCGTACCCTCTTGAATTTCATCAGGCCCTGCCAACTTGACCACATCTAACCTATCTAACTAGTCTTTTAACCTCTCCTTTCCCTGTTAATATTTGACTGTGCCAAGTATCTGGTCACAGTTAACTGCTGATGTGAAGACTGAAGCAAAAGAGGCATTGGACATCTGGGCTTTCTTTGTCATCTGTTATGAGTTCTCCTTCCCCACTAAGTAGAGGTCCTACACTTGCCTTCATCTGTCTCTTGCTCCTAATGTATGTACAGAATCTCTTATGATGTTGGATGTCCCTTGCCAGGCGTAACTCGCGTTGTGCCTTGGCCTTTCTGACCTTGCTGGGGCTGTTTCTTAGCCATTTCCATGGGTACGTCTACACTACGAGATTAATTCGAATTTAGATAATTCGAATTTGGGAAACAGATTGTATAAATTCGATTGTGCGCGGCCACACTAAGCACATTAATTCGGTTTTTAATCACATTAATTCGGTGGTGTGCGGCCACACTACCCCATTAATTTTAACCACATTAATTCAGTGGTGTGCGGCCACACTACCCCTAATTCGAATTTACAAAATCGATTTTGGTGCTACTCCGCTCGTCGGGGTGGAGTACAGAAATCGATTTTAAGTGCCCTTTAATTCGAAGTAACTGGCTCCGTTGTGTGGACGGGTTAAGGATTGATTCGGATTAACGCAGCTAAATCCGAATTAAAGTCGTAGTGTAGACCAGGCCCATGTTTCCACTTCTCGTGGAGTCCTTTTCCGTTTTCAGATCTCCTGAAGGATCCATGCTGGCCTCTCACTATTCCTAGCTTCCCTTCGCCTTGCTAGTTTGCTGTTGTGCTTTCACCACTGTCCCTAATCTCGGGTTTTTAAGGCTCTTCTGGTGGGGTGGGAGCTGCTTGGTAGGTGTCCTCTCGTTAACTCTGGGGGGTGCCGAGAGGCGACTGGCCCAATGGGAAGTGAGTTGCTGACCCAGGAGGGTGGGATCCGAAAGGGGGACCGGATGTCACAAGACTCCCAGCTCTAAAGCCACCACGCTGTGTCACGTAGGATCCTACCATGGGCACCGGGCCATGGACTCCGCAGCTCTGTCTAGGACACGGGGGCGCTTTGCCTCCAGGCCAGGGCTCAGGGCTGATGTCCCCCAGCCCAGCTGCTGCCGGATCACCAGAGTCTAGACCTGCAGGGTTTTCCCTTCCGGGCTCTGCCGATACCCAACGCTCGCCTCTGCTGGCAATGTCTAAATCGAGGCTTTCTCCATCGTCCCGGCCAGGGCTGTGCCCCACTCTCCGCTCTTGTGGGGAACCCCAGAGTCAGGGGCTGGGGGTGTGGCAGACAGGAGGGGCCGTTGCCCACGCCCCTTGTGTGTGAGTGTGAGCTCAGCGGGGCCGTTGCCCACGCCCAACCTCCAGTGGGTTAGTTCCCCAGAGTGCCCCGCTCTGCGGCCTCGCTCGGACGCAGCTGGGAACGTGCTGGGGGGTGAGCCAAGCCGAGCGTGCCCCTTCCCAGCGTGGGGCGTCCCCCTCATTCCCTGCCAGGCCAGGTTTTCCGACAAGTGCCGCCTGGGTCTGCCCTTTGCCAAGGCCTCGGCTGCTCTCCCTGCGCCGGCGACCCGCTAAGGGATCTACACTCCGGGCGCTGCAGCAGCACCACTATGGGGGTTTCCCATCCCCTCCTCGCACGGTGGCATTGTCCCATTGGCCCCGCCGTCTCTACACTGGGGGCTAGGCTGGCATAGCTGCGGCGCTCAGGGGGGTGGGGTTTTCACACCCCTGAGCGCTGGAGATGTTGATTCGAACTTTGAGCCTACACCTGGGCTAACGCTCACGGCGCTTTGATCAACAGGTAAAATCGAGATCAAAATCGTGACGACAGGGGGCTTCGGGGATGAGGACGATACCCACTGGCTGTCAGATGAGGACACCAAGAACCTCAAAGACATTTTCTTCAATATCCTGGTGAAAGCAAGTCTAATGCCTTTGTGGCTTGGGGGCGGGGCCTTGGCTTGCGTCTTCCATCCAAGCATTCTGCAGCCACTAATGGATTAATCCCCATGCAAGGCAGGTCACGGGGGAAACTGAGTCACAGAAGGGAAGTGACTTTCCCCAGGGCATCCAGTGAGTGGGTGGCAGAGCTGGGGATGGGACCCAGGAGTCCTGACGTTGCTGTTTGTTCACCTACACAGCCTTCCTGCTTCACAACAGCTAGATGCCCCAGACATGCAGCCACCTCTGGGGAGGAGGGCATGAGTCAGCTACACAGCTGTATCGGGGGATGTGAGCAGGAGCTAGGGCCCCCATACAGACCAGACAGGTCCCCTCTGCCCCCAAGGTCTCGACCCCCAGACACCATGGCTGATTTACCCTGGGGGGCGAAGGCTGAGTCTCCCTGCTCCAGGTTCCAGCTGGTGTGACCAGGGAGCCTGACCCCAGATACTCCTGTCCCCCAGCAGCCCATGATCCCAGCTTTACCCTCCCTGCTGGTGATCTTGTCAGCAGCGGCGGTTCTCTTCCTGGAGCCCAGCCTTACGGGGCGGTGCCCTCCTCCCCTGGGCTAGGGCGGGAGGCGACTGGGGCCTGGAGCAGAGCTCCCTGCTGGTGTGGGGAAGGTCGGCCTGCCCCGACTCTCGCCCCAGCTGCTGGTGTGGGATCTCCACCCAATCCCCCCATGGGCCCCTGCTCTCTGCCTCTCCAGATCCAGGGCACGGAGGAAGCTCACAAGGAGCGGAGGCGGCAGCAGGAGCTGGAGGACAACTACCGCTTTGTGTGGGGGCGGCGGCAGGAGGAGGCGCCAGCGACCGGCGGCACCGACTCAGAGGAGTTGGATTTCTGAGCAGGCGCCGGACGACTGCCTGCAACACCCCCTCCCCCTGTCCCCCGTATGTCCCATTGACTCAACTAGTCGGGTGACCAGACATCAAGGGGGGAAAAACCAGGACGGGGGGTGAGGGGTAATAGACACCTCTATAAGGCAAAGCCCCAAATATTGGCACTGGCCCTATAAAATCAGGACAACTGGTCACCCTATTGACTAGTAACCCAGGCGCCGTGGCTTCTCTCCAGGGGATGCCCAGCGGGGCCTGGCCCCTACCAGCACTTGGGGGCCGAGGGCACCTATCGCTCTTGTCCCCCCAGCCGCCCAGGGGGCTCTGTGTGGGATGTCTCCTGCTAGGAGGATGGAGAGGGACTGGCTGATTTCCATGGTAACTGACGGCGGGAGCATCCTCTTTGGTCCCTTCGAGGAAGGGTGGGCGTGGGCTGAACCTGTGCCCGTGTGACCCGTCTAGCACACGCTAGCGGGTTCCATGCACCAACCCGCCTCCCCATGAGACTAATGGTGTCTCCCTACCCGTGGGGGCTCTGCCGGCTGGCCACTCCCTCAGGAGCAGGGGCTGCGGGGCCTCCCCATTTCATAGAGTTGGGCTCCCTGGGGGAGCTGTGCCCAGCGGAGAGACCAGGTGGCAGAGGCAGGCTGGGCAGGAGGTCACGCTGGGATCTCCCCTGCGTGTCTGCGGTGCCTGGGCAAAGGGAGGGCGGAGCTGGAGCCCTGGCGTTTCGAGAGCCGGGCACGTGGAGAAATGCCCTTCGGTGCCTGCGGCTGCTGGCAGGTTTTGGTCTGGAGCTGGGGGCGGGGCCTGGAGCCTGGTTAGCTCCTCCCACTCCACTGCTAAACCTGGCAGGAGCTGGGCAGCATGGCCTGTGGCCTCCCCAGGGCCAGTGCTAACCTGGAGCAGGGGATGTGGCTTAGTTCATTTGCATAAGTCGCTACCCAGCATGCTCTCCTTGACCTGCTCAGACACAGCTGGGGGCATCGGTGCCAGGCGCCCATGTTGTTTCCTGGAACTCCCTGGCCGTTTGGGGGTACGTGAGCCCCCTCTGGCCCTTGCTGTTCGCTAGCCCTTCCCTGCTGGGGTGGGAGCGTCGCCGTGCGCAGGAGCCGGGTGAGATCAGGAGAGCAGAGGGTTAGCGAGGCCTCACCCTGGTCCCCTCGCTGCCTGTGGCTGCCTGAGTTCATCCACCCTCTCTCCGAATGAGACAACTCACACGCGGAGGGAAGGCAAGGTCTCTCCAGCCCCTGCCCGCTCTTGGAGGGGGTGGAGGGACCCCGCTTCCCAAGGGAAAGGTTGGAAAACCATCCACGATCCAATTTGTATCAATAAACCAGGCTCGACTAGTCTGCTCCCTGTGTCTAATTCACTGCGGCGGGGCAGGGCCGCAAGCTGCCCCTCGGAGCGGCTCACGTTCCGGCCGGGCCCTCAGGCCTCGCGCCATCTGGAAACGAGCATTTCCTACTGCACGGCGCTGGCTCCTGGCAAGCAACCCTGGTTTGGTCCCTGCCCCCTTGGACCTCACCCGGGGTCAGTTACACCAGGGAGGCCCCCAGGTCCCCACTTGCAGCTCATTCAGCTAAGACCGGCTGGGCTGCAGCCTGGTCTCATGGCTGAAATTCCCACGGGCCTGCTCAGGACCGGGATCACCACGTGTTCCTCACTGGCCTGGTCTCGTGAGACACACACTCCGGCTCCAGGGCCCTCCCTGGCATCTCCCAGCTGCCCCGAGGCCTTTAATGTAACTCCCCGGCCTCTGGGCAAATGAATCCGAATGCTGGGGTCTGTGCCCTGGCACGGGCACCAGGGGGTGCGGCTGCCAGTTACCTGAGGGTTCCAGCCTTGCTTTGCCCAGGTGAAGAAGTCACCACGCCAGGTGTGCGCGCAGTGCTACAGTCTGGCAACAGGTGGCAGCACCTGTCTGAGTTGTTGCAGTTCCACCTTTACCTGGGTGATGCCAGGGGGAAAAGAATCGCTTGCGAAGCCAGGTCTCTGCTCCAGGGAGGTGGGTCAGGTGCTGGGGCTGGCGGGGGAGCTAGGCCAGCCCCTGCCTACCACCCAGAGGGGAATGATGGGGGGCAGGAGTGAGCAATCCATCCTTCCCCTCCCCTGGTGCCTACCCTCCTGGTGGGGCTCACGGGAGGCCACGCGGGGTAGGACCCAGCCACTCCTCCAACCTCCCTGCTCCCGAGCTCTGCCCTCGGCGGCGGATCTGCCTGCTGCCTTGGCCGCTCGGATGCGGAGGTCAAAGGCAGCTGACAGCACCCCTGCTCCATGCAGTCCCCCCATCCTGCCGCCTCCCCCCACCGCTCCCGCGGATGGAGCTGCAACCACGCCCCCTCGCTCTCTGCCTCACTTGGTGCCTCTGGGGCTGGCCAGCTGTTGCCCTTCCAGGCATGTGCCCCAGGCGGGATGGGTAGAAGGCCCATTCTAGTCTGAAGACCGGAAACAGGGTGACCCCTTGGTGCTTCTGCATCCTTGACTTATGGGCTGCCTCCATCCCCACCTTCAGGCCTGCTCTGGCCTGTCATCGCCCCTTCCCAGCAGGGGGAGCGAGGGGGCTGCTCCCCCTGTGCCCCACTGACCCCCATCCCCCTCTTGGACCAGTGGATCACTGGCCTCAGTAGTGTCACCTTTCCTCCAGCCCGTATGCCTCACCCAGCACTTACCCAGCAGCCAGACTGACGTAGGCGGGGATGGGCGACCGGACAGCCCATGTGTGAAGAGCAGGAAAACAATGTCCCAGATGGGGAGGAAGTTCCAGGCCTGGGCAGGGCCTGAGCTCGCCCTGAACTCTTCCCCAAAAAGTCCTTCCCTGTTTGCTCTGCACACTCCCTTGTTTAGCCAGCAGGCAGGGCCACTCCGAGTAGCTCCTGTGCTCAGAGGCCTGGCCACCTGCTTGGTGAATGATTAACCCCCCTGGGATGGGAGGGGATGGGCACTGGGGGTGTGAGGGCCTCAAACCTCAATGGGGAGAGGGTGGGTGCAGAGAGGCTGGCACGGTCCTCTGACCCCAACATGCTGCTGAGGGACAAAGTTTTGTGCCTCTGGGGTTTGGGCATAAACGGTGCTGTCGTCAGTAGCTACCGGCGTGGTGCTCTGCTTTGGTTCGATGATGCTAATGGTCGGCTGCGTGCGTGTTCCCTCTGTGTGCTGCGCAGATCGGTGACCCAGCAAACCCCGAGAGAGCCCCCAAAGACCACAGACTCTAGTAAGGTACGAAGGAACCCGAGCCAGGTTTATTGTCAAACGAAGCACAGTAATTGTTTCCCGTAGACTCTACAAGACATACTATGAATTTGTGCCCCCTGGCAATGGACCGGCTCAGCCAGTGGCGGGACTTTCCACTGCCCCCTAGGCCAGACAAAGATGCACACTCCGGGACCTACTTTTATACAGTTACAGGACAGATTACTCATCCCTACTGACGTATTGACTCGTTGGGGGCTGTCTCCCTCTTCGATCATGTCGGTTCAAACAAATCTATCCATCATGTTGTCCTTTTGACCCTGTCTTTAAGATGCACCTGCTTCTAGCAACCCTCTTCTTGCCAACTTTTGTGAGTGGGGCCTGCCTCTGGCTCACAGCCCAGCTTTTGCTTAGCAATGCCTGGAAGTACTTTGGTTCAGGCTTCAGGCCTCAGACTGGGCCTTTGATACAAGAGTTTATGTTTCAGGGCCTCATCTTACTACAGGTGCCGGCCTTGGAGCGCGCCAGCCGGTGCCCATGGCTGGGCGGGTAGCCTCGTCCCAACACCCGCAAAATCGACCTCTGTCCCTGCATGCCCCCCAAGCGCCTCTCTGAACCTCTCTTCCCTTGGCCCCTCTGCTCAGCCTGGTGCCCTAGTCGGCGCCCATCATGCAACTTGCTGCGTGTGCCCCCTGCAGGGGGGCAATGCCAGTGGGCACCAGCTCCTGGGAAGGGGATGGACCCGCCCCCCCCGCTGCTGCTCAAACCCAGCTGGTGTTTGTACAGCAGTAGTAACGGTGGAGTTATTGCTCCAGCAAGGATGGGCTCAGTGTTTGCTTTATGTATCAGCACCTCTGCTTTGCCTCTTCCTCCCACTCCCAGCTGGTTTCCCAGTAGCATGGGGGGAGGGGGAGGCACAGGCCACCATCTCCGATCAGGGCCTGGTCGTGCTGGCCACCCGCCACCCATCTCTGCCCCCAAGGGCTAGCGAGCGAGAATCCTCCGGACACCTCCATGGCTTTTGTTTGGAGCTAGGCCAGCGGTGCTGGGAGACGGTCGCAGCTCAGGGCAACTGCACCTGTGTGTCGCCTCCAGCAAGGGCCCCCACCCTCAGGTTCCCGGCTCCCCGGCTGTCACCTGTCTCAGGTGGAAACACACCTTGCTCCCTTCTGAGCAGGGTTTCTCCAGGCTCAACGGTTCCCTGCCGGGTTAGGGGGCCTGCTTGCTCTCCCTTCTGCGCTGGCCGACAATATGACTGCCCATGTGCTAGCTGCCAGCCACCCTGTGCCAGCCACCCTGTGCCAGCCAGCTGCTGGGAAAAGCCCTCCAGAGACAATCGTAAAAACACCCATGCACTCGCTAACAAGCTTACCGGAGATCACCCGAACCCGAGCCTGGGCTCTGGGGGAGCAGGCCTTTGACCCCCCGCACCCAACGGGTTTCAAGGTCACCCCCCACTTCAGCTCAGAACAAGCACACACTCTTACGGGGCCTCGGTAGTAGGGTTGCCAATTTTGGTTGGACGTACTCCTGGAGATTTAATCACATGACACCATCTTTAATTAAAGATTCAGCTTTAATTCCTGGAGATGCCAGGCCAATCCTGGAGGGTTGGCAACCCTACTGGGTAGGCCCAGTCCTTCCAGGGGTCCTGGCCTTTTGCTGGACCAAGCTGTTTATCTGAAAACCCTTCCTTTGTCCGTAGGTCCCTGGGGAATCTAGTCTGACCCCTCTAGGGGGTGGCTTCAAAGAGGCTGACAACGGAGAAAGTACATTAGCGTTCCCCTCCTTCCAGAGGGGTTCACCCGTACACCATTGCATGTGTAATACCATGGACTCCAGAGGTATTAACCCTAATGCAATCAGGTTGAACCTAATTAAGTCAAGTTCATCTTAATTCCATAAGGTTTGACCAGGATATCGTCAGGCTGTTGCAGACCATCCTTGGCATCAGCCCTGTGACGAAGAGGGGGGTTTTCTTGGATTTTCCTTGTTTTTTTTCAATAGTTTGCATGCAGAGGAGGTGGGACTCAGTTTCCCTGGGTGTTACTGGTTTAACGAGGGGAGGGGAGAGGGAGTTTGTTGTTACAGAGGACCGGAGAGGGAACTTGGGACCCCGGCCAATGGCCTGGAGAATGGATACCCCAGCGACTGGTGACCGGGAGGCCCAGCTCGGGAGTCACAGCCGTTTTTGGCCAGTGGGAGGACAATGGGCTGCGGCGAGAGGACCCCAGTGACCTAACCAGCCGGTTCCAGCCAGAAAGGGACAGAGGACAGAAGAGGAGGCCCAGGCGACCCTGTTTACCTGGAGAGAAGACAATGGACAGAGGTGGGGCTTGGGGGAGGTGATATCAGATACCCAGCTGGAAAGCACGGGGGGCTTGGGACTGGGCAGAGAAAGACAGGTGTGCTAAGGGTCAGAGAGGTGCAGTTCCAGGAGGTGGAAGGGCTT